CATGCCACTTTTGTAACTCTGTTTTAGCCCAAATTAAACTTCCAAGCGTTTTTTAAAGAGATATTGTAAGAGACTTTTGGCAGAGAAAAGAGGTCTGTAGTTCTTCCAAATAGCTTCGACAATAAAGACACATTTGAAACTAGCGTTTTGAATTGAACTTCACCAGGTATCACTCTATAAACGCTCTTCCTCGACTTGGTATCTTTCTTTTGTTACCAAAGAGATCACAAGGATTTTTGGAGTGGCCTAGCGAGCACGTATACTCGTGGATTGCAATGTTATTATCCTGTTAAGCTAATAAGGCCTCACAGCAGTGAACAACAGCTGACTTCTTCAAGTATTTGCATAGAAGATGTTAATTTTTTAATTTTTTCAACCTCATCACAATGAGTTGCCCTCATGAGCATACGTGAACTCAATGTAAAGACGCTGGTCCTCGTACCCTTGGAACAAAGACGCAGCGTTAATGGCGGCGAGGGTGGGGAAGTACCGTGCGTGTTTATTTCATGTTCTGTGCTTTTCTACGACTTCGACATTCTGAGGTGTAATCACAGCTCACATGTATCCATGCTATCGGGATGGAACAACCGCGCATATGCATACAGCTTGAGAAAGGAGACCTCAAGTACCTTGAGGTCGCCTGAATTCCTTTTTCCATGCTCTCATTCTTACCTGATGCTGTTGCGTATATGTTGGGAATTAATACGTACTCTACGGTCTGTTTGCCTTTCAACGCTTATCGCACAGCGAAATGAGCTGGTCTACGTAAAATAGGAAAGATTTTCTTATTATTGCGTGCGAGCGGTAGGTCCCCTAAGACATCATTAGAAGCCTAGAACACCCGTGATGAAGATATAGATACAGTGCCTCATAGAGCTCAGCTCTCCTTGTAACCAATTGTTAAAGTAATCCATATTCTGTTATTGTTCTTCTAAAAAACGAAAATATCTGATTGCAGTGATAGCATCTACCTTAAGTGCTCACAATAGGCTGGGCTGTACCACAGACTCTGGGACGAAAGACTACTGGCACAGCGTCTATCAGCTATATTTCCCCGTCTGCTCCTACTTTTATCTGATATATGTACACTCTTCTCTTCTTCCTCTCAAGCGCTTCTGATCTGCCTAACTTAACAACAAGCCTCCATTTCGCATTTTACCTCTTACGGCCGAAGATCTGTTTGTGAGCGGTTACACGAACTTGGTAACTCCTAACAGAGGTAAAGGGACTAGGCGATGTGATGTATTATACGACTAAACTTGTCCGCAGGAAGTGATCTTTTAACGTTGTACATCCTTATTTTGTTGCCATAGGTTTTCCCGTAATTTTTTTTCATTTATTACTTGTACATTATGTTTTTCTATCATCATTTATATGTTCTGGGAGAAATTTTCGACTTATGTTTCGCCTAATGTATAATGTATTCGCAGAATATGAGTTGTGTTATTATAGAATGTAGATTGTATCTTTGTGGCTTATGATTTCTTCTTAATTGCAGTCCTGCGATCAAATCAACGGACACCATAAGGACGGATTTTCATTGTGCAACATACATATCCGAAAAGAGGTTTTACATTCCATGCATTTTCCATGATTTTTCTTATTTTCCAGAAAATAAAATGTAACGCCACATTTCCTATTACATTTGAGTAGTTATGTGCAAAACAACGATGAAAATAGTTACTGCTTTTTCTGTAAATTTGTTTCCAAGACATACTAACCTTTAGAAGCTGATTCGTGGTCGGCACCACTAAGCTGAGAAATTTTGCTGAGAAAAAAGATGAAATGCCAAGAGTTGCAAAAAAGAATCTGAAACAGAATTTATTAGGACTTTATGTGACATATAGTTGAAAACCTTCACATACCTTCCTATCGTCAACGTCCAAGGATGATGCAGGCGGAGATGATGACCACCAACGAATGAGGGCGACGAGGGAGTTTTCATTTGATGGAGCAACTAATCGAGAAATGGAAAAGTCACCTAAAAACATTAACAGAATGCATTATTTGAAAGCTTTTTTGTTACTCTTACTTTTCAATTTGTCTTGACATTGTTGGGAATTGGACTTTAAAGTTGATCTGACGCTGGAAAGAAAATTAATTTAAAATGTATTTGAAGAGCATCTAATTAACCATAGATGCCTTTATCTTACATCTTTCCGTCGCTTGGAGTAGTAATTTCAACTGTACTCTGCCATCGCTCCTTCCCATTCAATGGCCGCTCGTGCTGCACAGCTAAAATGGAAATCCTCGCGTAATATTCCTTTCTGCATATGTTTAAAGATCCCGTATTTTGCAGATTGAGCGTAGTCTTCTAGATGTGACTATTTCCCCTAAGCGCTATACACGAGATGGATAATTCTTTATATCTACTGCTCTTCTGCATTAACGATTCCGACGCTTACGAGGGTATTTCCGAATTTTCAAGAAATATATTCTTAGATTAAGAATCACGAACTTTTTCAGCCTCATAAAAGGGCAAGCAATTGCAACGCAAGCCTCAATTAGCTAGCTAAATAGAAA